AGCTGAATTTCCAGGGACACATTCTAAATGCAGCCTGTATATCAAAAAAGTTTCAAAAACTGTTGGCATTCTTTCTAAGATCAGATATTATATACCTCGCCCTGCCCTGGTGATGCTCTATTACTCCCTCATCTATCCTTATCTCAACTATGGTATTTGTGCTTGGGGCTCTACTACCCAAAATCATTTACGTCCTCTAATTACTCAACACAAAGCTGCTATTAGGACAATATCCAACTCTGGCCCCAGACATCACTCGGTACCCCTACTCAAATCTCTGAATATGTTAGATATTAAATCACTGCATATCCTCTCATACTATTATATGTATATAAAACGCTGAACTGTAATGTCAATCCTGACCTTTAAAGCTTCCTTGAAGGTTGTAACAGAACCCATGAGCACCACACCAGAAACAAATACCTTTTTGATATTTCAAGAGTATGACTTAATCAAACGAGAAATGCTCTACAAATCAAGGGACCCAGAATGTGGAATGACCGTCCCAATCATGTTAAAGACTGTACGTCTCTCAACCAGTTTAAGATAAAAACTAAGCACTACCTAATTAACTCCCTGTAACCTACCTTACCCCATAATGTCAACCCATGTCTGTTATTTTTAAACAATGCTGTTTGTCGACCAAATTGTATTTTTGCTATTTTTCTGCCATGTTCCCCCTTTTTTATTTTTATATGTTCTCAACACAATTTATACTTTAATCTCAATTAGTAATAAGTTTTAGTCTTGAGTGTTTTTCCTGCCCGAAATGCTTTGCGTCATAGTGGCTTTAGGCATTGTATGTACTAGCTCTATCTATAAATCCATCAATGTTTGTATCACACCTTGCATGTATGTACTTTACCTGAATAAACATTTGATTTTTTTTTCATAAACTGTTTGTCAATATTGAAACTTAAATATGGGTCTAGTTTGTACATACCAGTACTAACATTGAGACGATTTGGATACCGACTGATTAGGGCAGAATCAATCAAATTCCATTCGATGAAACCGCTGCAAGCTGGTAATGCTTTTTGCCTCTCCCCAATTAATAGTGTGATTACACAAACGTTTGTAGATACAAACTAGAAGTGTGGGCAGTTCTAATACTATAAGTGTGTTGGGATAAATGCAATTGTATGGCTTTTCCAGTTTGTAAAAGATACACAGACTCAATCATTGCAGGGGATCGAATACACACAATGTGCTTTTTTTTTAATTAAATTGTACCTAATTGTATTATTATTGAACACCAGATTGATATCAAGGTTATTAAAAACTGGGGAAAGTTTTTCTAGTCTACCACATGAGGTATCACAAAGTTTCTAATTTCCAGTTTAGCTTTGGGGATATGATTATAAACCTAAATATATATTTCTCTAGTTCCCACAATTTATAAGAAGAGTACAGTATTTACGTATGTCAGTTTTTATGCCATTCACAGCCCTAAATACTGGTGTTCAAATTTGATAAGCTAACAGTTTTATCTCTGCCCTCCACCATTAACTAATTATACTATATAAATTATTTATTTATTATTATAAAGCAAATATTATGTATTTGTTTCGTGGAGGCTTTTCTGTAGTTCTTTCATACTTATGGTCTGACCCCCTTGTTTCCTCTGGATTGTTCTAAGCTACTCCATCCCTTGCGTCTGGGTCCATCTCTCCCTGGGGATGGGTGGTCAGGTTGCAGACAATGGCCTCCACCCTCCATCTGCTTCCCTTAGCCAGTCTGTTGCTGACAAAGGCTCTTACCAGCCAAAACATTCAACATTCCCTTACCATTTCTCCGTGGTTTTCCCACATTTTTTCCCACATTCTCTTGTACTATTTACACTTACAAAACCTTATTCCTAGATTCTAAACCTGATTCCAAACTCTTTCTTGATAGATGCAATAGAAGCCATGAGCATCACACTAGAAATAAACAACATATCTTGGAAATCCTAGAGCCAGATGAAACCTGTTTATACTAAAAATCTAATTTTTTTTTTTATTTTGCACATGAAAAGGCCCAGTATATGGAACTCAATTCATAGTGAATTAAGATTAGTTATTTTTCTTCTTTAATTTTTGTTTAAATTGTTCTTCACATTTGCCCAATTTAGTACTTAAAACATGCAATTTCATTAGTATAAGCTATTGTATCACTTTATATTGTAGTTATTGTGTTGAATTGAAATTCTGTTACAGTGTACCTATTATTAATTCAGTGTTAGCTTAACTAAGGACCTGAAACAATATACAGTATGTTAGTGGCTTTGTGGCTTTGTGAGAATGTTACTATCACCAATGTGTCAACTCTCACAACTCAATATATATTCTTTTATATAAATGTAAATAAATAAGTTTATTTCTTGTGTTTTAGATATGTGTTTGGGTCACACTAGTGATGCATTCTTATCTGGTTCTTGGTATAACTTCGCTCTCTGGGGTTAACTGAGTCAGAGTTAAGTCTGAATTTGTTGACACACTAAGCTTGCACCTAACACATCTGCCTGTTTGGGTAACATGCCAAGAAAACTGTTAATTTATCTTCTATGTTGACTAGGACAGTTTGATTTCCCCCAGTTACTATACTGTGTGCAGCTCCATAGGTTGTAATTCACCATTTCTGACACCACTGATTTTTTTTCTGCAACCTGATGTCCTTGTCTCACCCTAATGCCCTTGTCTCACGCTGGTGATCAGTTTCCAGAGGTCTTGGCCCTGGTTTTTGGTTTTGGGATTTTTCTCTACGGTGGGACACTAGTGTCAGGTTCATGGGGACGTTTTTACGATTTCCTTTGGGGTCAAGAGATCATGGTACGAGTATTTCTTTCCAAATTTTCTTGCCACTGGTGCTCTTTTGCTTTCTGTTCTGGTTGTAATCTTATCCAAATCATTTTTAGAATTCCAGCTTTTTCAGTGGTTGGATCTTTTCTGCCTTCCACAGTAGTAAATACTACTGTGTGGTGGGAGTCTTTTCTTGCTTTGACTGCATTTTGGCATGCTTTTCCACAGCTCTTATTGCGCTTGGAGCTTTTGGTGATTTAACAGGATGCTTGTTCTTGCTTCTTGTTAGATATTCTGTGGCCTCTGCAAACCAGTGGGATGTTTGGGCATTTGGCCTCCTTGTGCCCTTCTACCCTGCACCCTGCTTTGCATAGTCATTCTCCACAGGTAAGCATTTCCTCCCATTTCTATTGCCAATAATCTCATGTTCCTTTTCAGAAAACCCATTCATCTCTGGTGAGGGTTATTAGGAATAAGGTATGGGAGCTACTGAGGGGACTTCCCAGAAATCATATGATGAATAACCCTCAGATGCTCTTTTTCTGCTCTGATCGCTTCTTCCTCATGGGGTATTTGGGATTCTGTTCTGGTGGCTCACAAGTGAGTTGGTTGGCAGTTGGGTTCAATAAGATTTCACCCATGGCAACGATTGTTAGCTTTGTTCGCCTCACATTTTATTGCATCAATCGGCAGCTTATTTTGCCTCGCCTAACCTTCCGGGTGTTTTTTTTTTTTAGTTTGGGTAACTCAGTGATCATCAGGCTCACTCTCATCATAGAGAGCCTCAGAATCTGGTTCCAGTTCCCAGTAGGTCAGTGTAGGACTTGTAGACCTTGTGCACTTCTTAGGCACTGGTGTAGCCAAGCCATAAGCTACAGAAGGGTACTGAGGGCCTGCTAGAAAATACCATTTCATTACATTTGGCTTTTTTTAATTATGAACTTTTGCCAATCAACAAAGTTCATACACACAAGGTTCATCAAGAATGTACCAATTAATCATCAAAACCTGTAATAATACAATTACTGTTTTCTTGTAAATGAAGAAAATGTTTTTCCTTATTGTACACTATTCTTAATTTACATCTTATTACTGGCACTCCTGATAAACATGCATCTAAATTAATACTTTATGTTCCTCTCTAAAGCATATTGCATAAGATGCCAACCTCTTATAAATAATAAAATGAAGCTTTCAACATTTTTATCTTAATTAAATACTTCAATACATTAAGTTAACATGCTATTTAGTTGTTATTTGAATCTCATAACTTAACACAATTTGCATACAACTGTGAAAATGTACAATGAAATCATATTAATGTGATGTATTAATGAGAAAATTAGTAGGAGCCCTGAGGAGAATTCGAACCCGCTCACTTGGTTCTCCAAAGCTAGCCCCCTAGACACTACACCTCGACATGGTCAAAAGCAATGCAACCTGGAATTCAGTTGAATCTACTAGGAGTCCTAAGACTCCCAACCAGAGCTCAAACCAGGGGTTTCACACGTTGTCCCTCCATGTGAAACCCCTAATTTGGGCTCTGGTTGGGAGCCTCAACTCCTTGTGGATTCAGATGAATCTCAGGTTGCATTGCTTTTGACAGTGTCAAGGTATAGTGGTCTAGGGGGGCTAGCTTGGTAGTACCAAGTAAGCGGGTTCAAATCCTCAGAGCTTCTACTGATTTTTCCCAACTGTGAAAATATTGTTATAACTGCATATTACATGTTCCTCTTCACTGTATTCACAGGCTACATAATCACTATATTAAAATAATGAACTGCAGGAACACAAATACTAAATTCTGAGTGTTTGTGCAGAATTGTAACTAAAAGCACACACAAATTTGCTGTAGAGAAATTATATTTATAATTACAAGAAATTATAGAAAACAAAGTTAGGGAGAGGCTTTTAAATGAGAGTTCATGTGTAGAGGTTGCATTGGAGGGTGTTGCATTATTAATACCAGGCAGTGTAAGTGCAGAGGTATAAATAAGTGAGAGAGCTCATCTGACTCGAGGGTCATCCTTGCTCCTAAATCAACAACAGTGAATATCATCTAGAAAATCTCTTAAAAGATGTCTGAAATTTGTCCACAATTAAAATCATAAATATCAAACAAAATTGTCGCTAATGACATAACCAAGAACTAATAAGTGATGATTGTAACACTAAAATGCTGAATATTTAAGAAAAGAAGAAATGCTATACAGTACCTACCAAGACCGTTCTTTTTTAAGGCTGCAAAGGGAGACAGATATTACAGTTGGCAGCAGCTTCATACATCTGCTTCAATAAATAACCTAGAGCTTTTCACTGGTCTAAAAGTACCATCTCTTAGCTCACTCCATATATAGTATTCATAAATGTGAAATTTTTATATCAAGAATCAGCAACAAGTTTTGAGCTTCTAAAATCCTCCTGCTGTGATATGGAACAAGCTTTAAACTTCAAAAATCTCTTGCTCTTATATGCAACAAGCTTTCAAAATGGCCAAGGAAACCTGTTTAATCTTATGGATCGTGTAACCTCAAGGCTGCTGGGAATACTGACACCTACACTTTCATGTTAACTCCCTCTCTACTCAGTCTACTGGCAATCCAACAGTGGAATATTTTTCCTCCCATCCTTTCCTGTTACAGTCCTCTTGGGGAAATCCCATAATTCCATGACATTTCCATTTTGTACATTTCATTCACTGCACCACATTTATTTTATTGTTTACTGCACATACCTTTCTCACATAGTTAACTGTTACTTGACTGCTCACTCACAAGTCTCAGATTTTCTTTACAATCTCTCTGATTTTCTGCATACTTCTTAATTTGCCTACAAATTTACAATGGGTGGAAAATTTTATTAAACTTTTACACACATTCATTACTATTAATCTACCATTCATTCTCTCATTACTATATTCTATTCACCATTACACAAACTAATTCCTCAAAATAGTTTTAACTATTCCTCAGTTCACTGCAACAAATTTTTAACTTCCTTTTCTATACATTTACTATTTTATCTGCTATTCTTTCTCTATTTAAAACTTATTCCAAATTATCTAACCTTCAATCCCAATTAATTTCAGTTGGCTTCATTCTTGACTCACAATTGGGGATCCCAGAGAGATTATAGAAGAACAGATAAAGATTAATCATGACTGTTGGGACTGAGGGACTTCAACTTGAAATTAATTGACTGGGAGTCCTATGAAGCAAGAACTGAGGACATTTGGACAGGCAGATTTGTAAACCTCATTCTGGAGACATTCATGTATTAACATTAGAACAAGTTAGATGAGGTGGTGGTGGTGGAAGCCAAAACCTTCAGTAATTTCAAAGCATTATATGACAGAGTACTGGGAAGGTGGGACACCACAAGTGTAGCTCTCATCCTGTAATTACATTTAGGTAATTACAGTAAGCATGCCAAGAGAATGAGGGAAGAGAAAGTTCCATCAATACTGGATTTAATATTCACTGGAAAGAAGAGGAGATATATGACATTCAGTACTTTCCTCCCTTGGGAAAGAGTGACCATGTCCTGTCAGAAATTAAATATACAATACAATACTGTATAATCTAAAAGAATGGGGAAATTTAAATAGTTGAGAAATTTTAGTTCAAGAGAATGAAAGTTCCCCCACTATGGGAGAACTTTGGAAATTCTTTAACAAATTTAATTGGACAGACTTGTTGCTAGGCAAGGAAGTAAATGAGATGTATCCCAAAAATTCTATGAAATATATGATGAAGGCACAAACAAATTTATACTAAAACAGATGCAAAGCTGGAAAACATTCAAAGCGTGTTTGTGCAAAATGGGATTTTCAGATAACTAGACGATGATAATTCCAGAGAACACCATAGAATACACAGAGGTGTCTTGAGATAACATGGGAAAATTACAGGATTGGTTCAACAGAAAATATGAGAGGGCCAGATGGGAAAAGACAAGGAAATGGGTACATTATAGAAAGATGCCTATACCATCAAACATACCAGCACTACAAACAAGCAAGAAACAAATACACAACAGTGATTAGAGAGGCAGAAAGAAATTTTGAGAAAAAGATTGTGAACAAGTGTAAAACAGTTGTAGGCCTTTTGTATAAATTCATTAAAAGCAAGCTGCATGTAAAGGATAAAATCCAGAGATTTTAGGCCTCAAACCTGGCTTGGGGAGAAGAAGAACTCTCAGATCCCCATCAAGCAGAAATTGAGAATGGGGAACAGATTCACAGAAAATTAAAAACAAATGTGTAAAACACTAAATGAACAGTTTCAAAGTTTTTGTTTTTGAACAGCAAAATCGGATTTTCAGAGAACCAGACGATGATGCTTCCATCATACCATAGAATACACAGAGGTGTCTTGAGACAACATGGGAAAATTACTTGAGGGTTCCAATCTACAGAAGTGGTTACAGAGAAGATCCTCTAAATTATAGACCCGTGTCATTAACAAGTATGGTACTGGAGTACTGGAGTGAACGATATGGAAGAAAATGCAGAATAGAACCAGTGAAGAGCAGAGGTGCCATAGGTACAATCAGAGAACACTGTATAAACATCAGAGGTCCGTGGCTGTTCAACGTCCTCCCAGCGAGCATCAGAAATATTGCCGGAACAACCATGGACATCTTCAAGAGAAAACTAGACTGTTTTCTAAAAGACGTTCCGGACCAACCGGGCTATGGTGGGTATGTGGGCCTGCGGGCCGCTCCAAGCAAAATACAGCCTAGTGGACCAAACTCTCACAAGTCAAGCCTGGCCTCAGGCCGGGCTTGGGCAGTAGAAGAACTTCCTGAACCCCATCAACCAGGTATCAATCAGGTATCAACTAGGTAGTTAAAACCAAATGGGTAGAACACCTGGAGAGTAATGACATAACAGACAGTATGGTTTTTGAACAGAAAGATCCTGTTTAACAAATCTACTTAGTTTTTATAATAGAGCCACATAGATTCTACAGGAAAGAGATGGTTGGTTGTGTCTATCTGGACCTAAAAAAAGGCTTTTGAAAGAGTCCCACACAAGAGGTTGTTTTGGAAACGAATATGCTGGAGGAGTGACAGGGAGACTGCTGACATGGATGAAAACATTTTCTGACAAAGATGAAGATGGTAATTAGAGGCAATGCCCTTTAAATTGACCTAGATAAAATGCTTGCAGCACTATGTGTCAAATGGAATTAAATGTGAATAAATGTCATGTTACAGAATGTGGAATAGGAGAAAATAGACCACACAACCTACAAATTATGGAAAAGCATTTAAGAATTTTAAGAAAGAGAGCGATCTAGGGGTGGATCTGGATAGTAGCCTGTCACCGGTGGAACACATAAAGGACATTGTGCAAGGAGCATATGCTGCACTCTCCAACTTCGGAATTGGCTTTACTTATATGGATGGTGAAATAGTAAAACAACTGTTCATGACTTCTGTGAGACCAGAATTGGAGTATGCAACAGGTGTATGGTGCCCATATCTTAAGAAGACATCAATAAATTGGAAAAGGTGCAAAGGCATGCTACAAAATGGCTTCCAGACCTGAAAAACTAGAGTTATGAAGAGAGTCTAGAGGTGTTAAATATGCCAAAACTATTAGATAAAAAAGACAAAAAAGAGGCAATATGATTGCCACTTAGAAAATACTAAAAGGAATCAACAAAATTGACAAAGAGGAATTCCTGAAACTGGCAACTTCAAGAACAAGAAGTCATAGATTCAAGCTAGGGAAACAAAGGTACCAAAAAATAATAAGAAATAATTAAATTTCTTTTGCAAAGAGTGGTAGACGGTTGGAACAAGCTAAGTGAGAAGGTGGTGGAGGCCAAAACTGTCAATAGTTTCAAAGCATCATATGACAAAGAGTACTGGGAAGACGGTACACCACAAGTGTTGCTCTTATCCTGTAAATACACTTACGAGATTAGACACACACACACACAAACACACCTCTCTACTGCCATCCTGTCTGGGAATCGAACCTCGATTTAATTAAAATAAATATTTCTCTTGCCTATGTTTCCTTGGCCAGCTATGAAACAATGACAATTTTACATCTCTCACTAATGCAAAATGCACCTCAATATAATGTGCTTGGCTATTACTTCTACATCAGTTCCGTCTGTCACTAATAACATGTTACAAACTTACAACCACAAGATAAAATTGGTTTAGTCATGATATCTGGAAGATGTATTGCATGGAACAACAAGATATTGTACAGTACTGTATTACCTTCAAATATGCTATTGCTCACAAAGTACTGTACAGTGATAAATAAAATAAACAAGAATAAATGACAAACTTTCTACCTTAAATTACTTCAAAAAGCGTGTACTATACACCAAAATACACACCACTGAAGAAAGATTAACAAATATTGGTTAATCAAGAATTTTATAGTAATACTTTTAATCACTGGCATAATGCGAAAAAGAATGTCTTTGAAATAAGTGAAAGCCTATGTCTACTGTAGGAAAGCCTGAATAGTTGCCAGCGCTAGAAACAGAAAACATAAGCCATCATACACAATAATGTTGACTGCTCATGATACTAAATAAACCAAAGAAAGAAATCATTATGAGTTGGCCGCAAGCATGAAGTCTAGCATAATGAAGGACACCCCAAAAGAAGCATTGGATAAACAGCATAATAAAATAATGTAAAAAGGAACCAACAGTATAGTAAAATTTACAAAATTGATTGGAAATCTACCCAACATGAATAAGTTCGTAATATGGAAATGAATAATAATTTGACTCCTTGAACACATTAAAAAAAAAAAGCTGAAAGCAACTACACCAAGACGTAACATATCTGCTAAGCAAACCTGATTTCTTAATTCAAAACATTCATATAATACAAACAAAAGAAATACTGAAATCTATAAGTATATATGTAATATTGAATGCTACTGTGAATACTTACCATTGGTTTGCTTTGATGCAGCTGTGGGCAGGGGGCCCAGGTCTGTCTCACAAACTGGTATATTTTTTTAGAATAAGACTTCTAAACATAAAATATATATGTATACAAACGCACAACTTCAAAAATGCTTCTAATTACATGGATGGTGAAATACTCAAGAAACTGTTTATGACTTTGATGAGACCAAAATTGGAATATGCAGCAGTTGTATGGTGCCCATATCTCGAGAAGCACATCAATAAACTGGAAAAGGTGCAAAGACATGCTACAAAATGGCTTCCGAAACTGAAAAACATGAGTTACGA